GGGGAGGGGATCTTTGAGCCTGACTATGTATTTCAAGAAAACTGAGTTGCCTAAAGTGATTGCTTAAACTGTTAATCAGAAGAAGTTTTAAAAATTGGATTGGACTGTATTAAACTCCACTCCTCCCTCCCCTCTAACCCAGTGATGAAGGGGCTCAAAACAGAGTGAGGAGCAGCTACTAGAGAGAAAATGGGCCCTTCCCCCTCATGCCTGAGGTGCAGCATGTGAGTAACCTGTGATCTTACTGTAGTTCAAACCCGTGCTTTCATGGTGCTGAGACCTCTTCATAAGTGTCACTTTGTACCATTGCTTACTTAATCTGGCCCCTACATTTGGAAATGATTCTCGTTATTATAAATAATATCACGAAGAACACACTAGACCTATTAAAGGGCAAAGTGAAAATGTTTAGATCTGAAGAGGAAAAGTCATAAATAATTCTCAGATCTAGATTTGCATTTTCTGTGTAAGATGATAATTGCAATTAATAAAAGTAAAATTCATCAAGCCAGAAAAGGGCCCTTTGAAAATCAAAGTGTTGTTTCTTCTTAAGGGAATTTTGCCGAGTAAGTTCCTAGAACAACTGAACCTATGTATAGAATATCTAAAAGGGAAGGAAATGAAAAACGTGTGGCGTGTACTTGTAAACATTGACTGGGGAGAAAGAATAGGAGGGAAAGTAAAGGGGCCAGTGTAACAGAAGACAATGACTTGGCAGTAGAATGGCAGAGAATTGAACCAACTGAAAGTGCTCGCTGTGCGCCCACGGGCTCATCTCCATAACGCACTTGCCCTCAATTTAATTTTCCCATTTGCTCTTCACTCTCAGGTAGAAGAACAGAAATGTGGCCAAGCTGACAATCCTTTAGAGGGTGCTGTTTTCAGAGTCACAGCACATAGTGTCCTCAACTGATTGGCTTCTGAGTTGCGGTTTAAGTACCAAGTAGGGAATCTCGGTTTTCCTTACAGGGCTGCCTTTTGTTGATAATTATCAAACGGTTCCGGTGATGCTAGCAGCTGAGCGTTTACCCTGAGGAGCACCGAATTTACTCCTTACCTGACTCATGCATTTATTCCTATTATCCCCATTATATAGATGAGAAATCTGAGGCATAAAGGGGGGGGATGTTGCTCAAGTTCACTAGTTAGGGGTAGAGCTTGAATTTGAACTTGGGTGTAACTTTAGAGCCTCTAATCTTAATCAGTGTCTTTGTCTATGGTCGATTAGGTCTTAATTTGTCATCTGGTCCTCCCATAAGTAAAATGTCAGTCACCTAAATGATGGTGTCTGTGAGGAACAGAAATAACTGCCAGGAGGGGGCGGGTGATGGGGATCCAGGAGGCACTCCGTCCGCTGTGCCCAGGCTCCTGCTCACTGAGTCCTGAAGCAGCTCTTGGGCGATGGGTTTATCCTCATGCTGAGGATTCTCTTTTCTCCCCCAGAGAAACTGAGTATCTTTCTCTCCTTCCTCCCGGTCTTCCTTCCTCCCTCCCTTCTTATCTGCTGCTCAGCCTCTGACATGGTGACTAACACATGGGTGCTCAGAAATCTTTGCTGAATTGAGCTGATGTAAGGGAGCATCTCATTGCTGTGTGTTTGGGTCCTGGAAGTTCACATTATCTGTCCCCAGAGGCAGGCACAGGTGGGGGAGCAGAGCCCCCCAAACCTAAGTGCTGTTCACTTCCAGTCAGCCTGTGCCTCTGTTGATCTCCCTTGTGACAACCTAGCATTAAAGTGATATTTCTTAAGAAAGAGGGATGTTTATTTTATTTTTTTTGTTTCTTTATCTTTATTACCATTACTGACCAGTCCATACTTTCCCTACTGATTTGGAATGCTTATTAAAATAAATTCCCTAATGTTAAATTCCTTAATATATAAGGATCTATTTAGGACTTATGTTTGTTCTATTCATCTGTTGTTTATCTTAGTGTTCTAAATATTATTTTATGTATTGCTGTCCTACAGAACAGTCTCCCTATTATTGTACTTTAAGATTTTCTCCTGAACATTTTCATTTCCAGAGGAACTTCAGGACCAGAATGACAAATTCCATAAAGAATCCAGTTGGGATTTTAATTGGGATTAACTTGGAGAAAATTGATAGCATTATCATAATCCTCGCTTGCCTGAAGGGACACTCTGTGCGTTATGTTCTCTGTGAAGATGCTTTATACGTATAATTTCATATACTCCTTGCAGTAACCCAGCAGGTGGGTTTTATTAGTCTCTATCCAAGGAAGAAATTGAGGTTTAGAGAAGTTAAGTAAGTTCTCCAAGGTCACTTGATTAGTAAATTGCTAAACCAAAATTTTAATTGCACTTTGACTTCCAAATATTGCTTCTTAACCACTATTGTATAGTTGTCTTTAAAGTGTTAATACTTTAAAGGAACAGGGTATGTTTCATCAAACAAAAGGCTAAATCTCTGGTTTCTTGTTGATTCACTGTGAAAGCAGATTGCCACAAGTCCCCTGGGTGGGAAATTAAGGACTGTGGTCACTAGAATGGTGAGAGAACAGTAGAAAAACCAGGATGGTCTAATAAAGACATGGGTCTGAGGTGATTAATACTGAGGAAAGGTTGGTGTGGGTGAGTGGAAGCTCACACGGGGAAGGGTGGGACAGGTGCCCACAGAAGTCTTTGGAAGGCAGAGTCCACAGTGAAGATCTTATCTGGGTGAGAATTAGGAACATTGTGCTCCCTGTTTGTTCATGAGGCTACCCCCATCCTAAAGTCTGGTAAATAGAAGGCCAAGTATATCTCACCTTCTATTTCTCCTTCTAAAGGCCTTCTTTTAGCTTTCTGTCAGAAATGAAGGATTGATTAAACATATCATAGCACATCTGTAGAATGGACTACCCTGTAACCGTTAAATATGATGCTACAGAAAATATTTAGTGACATGGAGGAATGTCCTATGTGAAAAAGCTCACTACAAAGCAAGCAGCCAGGCTGATTCCATTTTCTTTAGAAAATTCTATTTGAACATTCTGCATACACACGCATACCAAGAGATAATAGCAGTCAATGTGACTCTTATCTTTTTTCTCATAATTTTCTATATTTTCCAGTTTTCTTATGATGAAAGCTATTGTATTTGCAAATAGGGCCAGGGCCAAGGCCAAGTCTCTCTCTCTCTCTCTCTCTCTCTCTCTCTCTCACACACACACACACACACACACACACACACACACACCAGTTAAGGGAGTGGACAGTGTGGTATTCTCTCTTAAAACTGACACAGATTTTTTTTTCTTCCCTTACTGGTCTTAATGAAATATTGTAGGAAGGCTTGAGCAGTGGTCTCCAACTGTGGTTTTTGGACCAGCGCTATCAGCCTTTCCTGTGCCCTACCCAGACCTGCTGAATCACAGAGCCTGGCAGAGCCCAGCCATGCGTGCACACGTCTGATGCACACGATGTTTGAGAACCATAGGTTTACGGGACCATATGAATTCATTCTAATGATAGGTTTCTCAGAATTATGAATAACAAATTCCTGTGTGTGTAAAGTTGGTGTGCTCGACCTACCTGCACGGAGCTCCTTTTCCTTGGATGACCTCACATTTCTCTCCAGGGGCACAGAGGCCCAGGTCCCCCTGGTGGTCCAGGGGCCCCTGGCTCTCATACCCCCATCTGCAGCGACACTCTGCTTCCTCGGTCCACTCATTCTGTACACACTGAGCAAATTCGCCACAGGCCAGGAATGTGCAGGGATCTGCTTGGTCAGCTGTAGGAGATGAGGTAGATAAGAGTAAATGCATGGAGGCCTGAGCAGGGGAACTGGCAGAAGTCAAAGGCAAAAGGCCAGATATATTTGCTCTCACCCCATTTTGAAGTGGGTTGTGCAGTAGTGATAACAGACTGGAGTGAAAAGAGAACCACATGTTTCTGTATTTTTGACAAATGAGTTTATAGACACATTTAGTGATGACATATTTAGCTCCAAGTATAATTACGCACAAACTTTGTTGTGCATCAGCATCACCTAGAGGTCTTGTTAAAATGCAGATTCCAGGCCCTACCCTCAGAGTTTCTGATGCAAGAGGTTTGGAATGGGGCCTGAGAACCTGTATTTCTAAGGAGATCCCAGCGATGCTGACACATCCGACCTGGAGGGCACATTTTGATAACTGCTGCATAGAGAACTGATTTTTTATTTGTTGGTTATTTTTTAAGGTATTTTCTGCAGAGATGAGCTATAAATGTGTATATTTAAGATCAGATGTAACTTATAAAGTAGTAGTCATTTATGAGGACAATTTTGAGAACTCAGGATAATTTTCTAATTTAAAAAATATATTTCTCTTAGTCCCTCCCTGATCCCTAGGGCCCTAATGTTAGAGATTCTTTCTTTTGGATTAATTGTTTTTCCTCTATTAAAATTCAAATAGACTTCCAGTCTGTTCTCTTTCGCTCTATTCTTAACTCAGTAGGATTGTCTCAAATTATTTGTAAAGTGGATTGTAAATCAAGAGAATCTCAGGATATTTAGTTCTGGAAGGCCTGTGGCTCCTGCCAGCCTTTTTGTCTGTCTCTGTAAAGCTGGGAGTACTGAGCTCTCAGGCAGAGAAGCAAATGGCCTGAGTCCCCACATGCTGATGGCAGAGCCAGAATCGGACTCTGTCCCTGAGACCATTGTGCTTTCTACCCTGAGAGGGTTACACTGGCCATTTATCCCTCAGATTTTCCTTTCAATAAACACATATTATGTGCAAGGAAGGAACTAAGGGACAGGCAACTGTGTATAAAACCGTGTATCCAGGAAGCCTAGAGGAAGGTACAGAATCCTTCTATCCAAAGAGCCCAGTGCCTTGTCTAGCATAAGAGCCCTAAATATGAGCTCTAAGCATAAGCCAGAGAAGAGATCACCACGGAGGGGATAGTTTGAACTGAGTACCTACATTTAAAGTGGGTTGTATTTGTATGTGCCAAGACTACAAAAGGCATTCCAACTGGACCCGGCAGCGTAAGCAGAGGCACAGAAGTGAGAAAGCAACAGGCCACAGACGTGGAGGAGATGGAGCAGGGGAAGCCCACTTTGGAAGGAGCAGAAATCCATGGACAGACAGAAGGGAACTAAGGCTGGAAAAGTTAGAGCCAAACTCTGGTAGGAATTTGGACTTTACAGGCAAGTGGGAGCCCTCAGTGCATTTGGGGTGAGGGAGAGGTATAATCAGTATTGTGCTTTAGAAGACATGTAAATAGAACTTACAATTTTCAAAATCAGGATAATTTCAGTCATTTTCTGGTCCAGTATGTCCCAAGTGGGAACATTTGCAGAACTAGAATTCAGCAGGACTAAATAAGTTTATACTAAAAAGAGGTTTGGTGGCTAAATGAGTTGTGTGGTTTTTTTTTTTAAATGCAGGGTGAAATAAATAAGTTTCTCTCTCTTTCCCCTTTTCTCTTTCTCCCTCTCTCTCTCCAACCTCACCCCCTTCTCTTTTTGGCTTTTAAACACTCTTGGGGTCATTAATAAGCTAATATCTATTGTGAATCTTCCATTGGAGAACATAGCTGCTTTGCCAAATTTACTGACCACAGAAGCTCTGCAAATGGGTCTTCGGGGTCATCTTGTAGGGTGAGAATTTCAAAGAACCTCTGTGTTCACTGTTCGGTCCAGTGCCTCCTTGCGGTGGAAGGAGCAAGAGCAAGAGAGATGAGTGAGACCAGCCCAAGCTGAGGGCAAGGGCAGGCCCTGGAGAGCACAGTTTTGGGTTTCCCAGCAAGGCAGGCCTGTTAAAAGTCTATGTGAAGTTGTACTTCTCTATAGGTCGAGGGTCCCTTATGGACAACCGGCCTGGCTAAGGTGAACTGGTTTTCCCTGCCTCACAGTTCCTGACGCTTGCCATGTTAGGGGATCCCTGTCACTGGAAAAAACTCAAATTTACCCTGATAACCCAGGTGATCCACACCCAGGGCCTGGGTTAATAAACAACAGCTGCCAGCAACTCTACCCTCAGTATTTTCGTCTTGAAAACAGAAGCCAGGAGGAACAGTTAGAGTTGTGTTTCCCTCTCTGCAGAGGGGAAATACAGTGTATTTACGTGGAAGGCTGATGGAATGCACGGATTCTGCCCTGCTGAGGACTCATAGGAATGAGTTACCCGTTACAAAAAAGGTTTCTGTTTCATCATAATTTCCTTCAGCCCAGCCAAGCATGCTCTATGCACCAGTAAAGCTGAACTAAACACAGTAAGGTAAGGCTGGAGGAGTGACATATCCAAATTCGGGGGCCTAGAGTCAGGTATAGTTTATCGATTACTTGCTTCTCCCATGTTATTTACTCAGGACCAGTCTACAGGCAAGATGTAGGAGGCTTAAAATCACTGAGCTGGGTGGGGCTGGCATGGCTCAGTGGTGGCGCATCGACCGGGAGATCTTGGTATGATTCGGGAGATCGAGGTTGGATCTCTGGTCCTGGGTTTCAGGCTCGATCCCCAGCAGGGGGCGTGCAGGAGGCAGCCAATCAATGACTCTCATCATCGATGTTTCTATCTCTCATTCCCTCTCTCTTCCTCTCTCCAAAATCAATAAAAATATATTAAAAAACAAAAAACACTAGCCTGAGTTTTTGTTTGCTGTGTACCCTTCCTAAGAATTAAGAGAAGATCCATTTATTCAACAAGTATCAATTTGGCCCTTCAAAGTCTTCAGCACTGAGAATTTCAGGCAAACTAATTGCTTTATATTTTTATTTTACCCATATATAAGATTTTATATGTTCAAGTCCCTCAACTCTTACCCCATCCCCTTGTGGACTGTGTGAAGAGTTCCAGGGAAGGAAAGAACCCCAAGGGGGAGCTGTTGGACCATAGCCTATAAAAGTGTGAACTGCCTAATTGCAGTTCATTAGAATCATAACAGAAGAGGTGATATACAACAATTTGTGAAGCAACTCATACAGCTTCCACTTTCGAAAAATATTTCCCCTAGGTATGTTAATAAGTGATACCTCTAACTTTGGGCAAAGACTGAGACTTGGATGTAAGCTGATTCTGAGGAGGAAGCACCATGAAAAAGAAGAGAGTGACTTTACAATGAATGAAAATTTAACCAGTAGAAATTTCTTAAGAAAGCTTCCACTGTGTTATCATTTTCTTTCTTTGTCATATCCCAAAGCCATTCTCTTGGGAATGATGGACACATTAATGTGTAGGCCATACAACTATTTGCTTCTTTCTTAACACATCCCCAGGAATTTGCACACAAAAAATTTAGTCTCAACTTCCCACTCTTTGCTTTTGATTTAGTCAATATTAATAATGTAAACATTATGTAGCAACAACCAAAAATGGGCTGTTCTGAACATGGTCCATATCCTGGAAAGAGGAGGGACAGGGAGATGTGAGATCAACAGTCTATTAGGAAGACAATGATTAAATGCGGTTTTCTAGAAAAATATTTCAAGTCATAATCAAATTGTGTGTCGTTTGAGGAGGTGATTGGTATCCTCATGATTGGTGTATGGACTAATCTATAATTACCTTAGCTTCCTGGATTTGCTTAAATCCCCTTTCTATAGATTATTTATTGGTGGGCACTATGGAAAGGGCTCTCTGTGAGGCTGTACCATCCCCACCAAATACCTAGTATGGTTAGGGGAACCCTCTGGGTTTACTGTAATTGCTTGCTGACAAAATCACTTATTTTTCTGTCCTTAACCCACGTGGGTAGCTCTTTTGCAGATCAAATTTGACAATCTCTCTGTAGCCCAGAGCAACTGGCCTGAGAAAGTCCAGTGGTTCAGTAGCTGTTCATTTCCAAGTGGTGGGAAAAATTCAGGTCCATCCTGTATCCAGAGGTCCTGGTTCAGCCTTTAACTTCCCATGTAGATTCTGACTATAGTCAGAGCATTGATGTCGTTCTATTTCAGGCCTTGTCCCTGATGTGGCCCCAGGGATCAACATCCTGAACCTTCACCAGGAGCTTCAGAAGGAGCACCATGACAATTATTTATATAGTAGTCCCCACCTTTCCAAGGGGAATATCTTCCAAGACCCCCAGTGGATGCCTGAAACCACAGATAGTACTGAACCCTATATATACTGTGTTTTCCCCTATATATACTTATGATAAAGTTTAATTTATAAATTAGGCACAGGGAGAGATTAACAGCAATAACTAATAGAATAATTATAACAATATACTTTAATAAAAGTTATGTGAATGTAGTCTCTCTCTGATAACAAATATGATAACCAACACAACTACTAAGTGGCTAAAGGGCATGGATACACTGGACAAAGGGATGATTCACGCCCCAGGAGGAGTGGAGTGGGACAGCTCAAGGTTTCATCATGCTACTCAGAAAGGTGTGAAATTAAAACTTATGAATTTTTTATTTCTGAAATTTCCCACTTAATATTTTCAGACCACAGTTGACTGTGGGTAACTGACACTGCAGAAAGAGAAACTATGGATAAGGAGAGACTACTGTAGAAACAGAGAGCTCGCATTTATTGAAGGTCATTTTGTGTTTGATATTGCACTTGACACTTTAAACAAATCTTCAATAATATTCACAATAACCCTCCAAAGTAGATATCGCTGAAAATTAAAGCCCATTGTAGCTGGAAAGTATAACTCAAGATTAACATCTGTATGTCCATTCACAGTGTTTGGCTTTTGACATCATTCTAGTGGCTTTAAAATAACAGGGTTTCCAGGAGAAAATTCAGGGTTCCACGGGGCTCATAGGAGATGAGGGACAGTGAGTTGGAGGCC